CGAGTCTGAGCTCCCGTCACTAATGGGGGTATATCACGTCCACTCCAACCTCTCCCTCGTCCACCGAGTGGCCAGCGCAACTGAGCGAGAGGGCCTACCCGGTGGCGGGCCAGGTCGTCGGGCGTGTACCGACCTCTCACTGGCGACCTTGACGTCAAGGTAAGGTGCTGACTGTGCTGGGCGCTCAGGTCGAGGCGAAATTGAGGAACTGTCAACAAATTAGAAGTTCACAGCACAAAAATCTTATCTGAAAGGAGAAAGGATTATTAGTATATCCATCATTTACAAGAGACGGCATGCGAGTACGATTGCAAATTTCAGGAATATACAGGATAAGGGGCCACCTAAAATGAAATAGCCTTCAAAAATAACATAAAAGAATTAAAACAATAAGAAAAAAAAAACTTAAAACTAAAACTCGAAAATATCTTAACCCATTCGCGCCGGGCGTCACGTATAGGTGACGGGCCCACTTTGAGTTTACTTGTTTGATTGTTTACAAACATAGATGGCTCCACTTGCACTTGTACTGCCTGTCTCGTCTGTTTACCCTTTTCTTTAATTTACGAAATTATTTTGCGTTATTTTATTTTCCTGTTACTAATGTTTATTACATTAGTGTAATTATAATGTTTATAATAGAAATAACCATCGATATTCATAGCACTAGTAAAAATACATTTTCTCGCCAAATGAAATCCGGTAAAGCAGAGCCATCTAGTGTAGAGAAATTTCATTAAAAAATATAAAAAATGAACACAGCATTTCCCCCATTTTTTGTTCATTTTTACCCGGCGCGAATGGGTTAAACAGAATGAAAGGAACTTAAAACTAAATGACTTAAACAAGTAAAACCTTAAACCTATACTTAAAATACCTTAACATATAACGAAACTTTTCAACTAAAAGAACATACCATTAAAATAAAGAAAAACGGCTAGCTCCTACTAAAAAAATAAAAGCATTTCATGAACAAAAATAAATATTACAAATACCAAAAATATAATAATTGTTACAAAACTTAAAAAGACCGGATCTCAGGCAGATAATTACTGAAGTGGTAGTCCAGCGATTCTTTGGTAGTTTCTGGGCAGGTCGGGCAGAGCTCGTTGTGCGGACGACGTCAGCCTTACACGGGAGCCCACATAAAATGTATGTATTACTTAGGGTGTGTAGAGATGGGTGCAAAAAACGTGTTTTTCTGTAAAAGAGATTATACCTTACCTTCCCACATCTACCACGACTGACATTGGGACGACAGTACTGCTGAAAGCAACATCGTTGCACCTAGCCCCACGTTGTCAGGTAACCTGGTAAACGTAATTAGGGACATTGTATGGAGAAGCCTCTCGAAAGGTCAGCTCCAGCTTAAACAGGCGCAGCTGGTATGCGTGACAGTTTGTGTCCTGTGGTCTATAACCATCCCAGTCCAGAGGGCCTTTCACTAATGCAGCAAGGACACCATGTTGCAGAGTTCCCTCTAAGCCACAGTGTTGCAAGCGTTGGTCCCATCTGGTTCCTTCCGCGGTAAAGACTCAGGCGATCACGTTCCTCAGTCATCCTCTGACGAGATTAGAGTTCCTGATTCTTCGCCATGTTTCCTCATAACTTCAGTGTAATGTGATAAATAATTTTCATTCTGTTTCCCCTGCAGTGGCTCCCGCTTATCGTCTCTTCCCCTCACCATCTCGGCGAGTAACGTGCTAAACTGTAAAAACATAACTTATTGCGTCTCACCTCCAGTACCTTTATAATGAAAGCACCTACATCACTGTAATGTTAATCAATGTTAATATAGGCACAGTTATTAATCTCCACTATGCACATAAACAATTCTCTGTATTAATGACGGTAGACAAAAATAAGAAAGTGCAGTTACAACACGCACAGTGTACATTTCACATTAAGCACGGTAGACAGTAAGAAGATATGGTTATCACATGAATGCACGTAAATAAGTCACTACGGCAAGCATAATTTCAAAGCATGGCTACACAGCACGGGCACGACTACTAGTCAACTCACACGCACGTACTTTCCATGTAATTACATCGAATGCTTCATCACTAATTACGTACGCAATACAATGATGTACCATTCGTACAGCTTTACAAGTTAGTGGGTACGAAACTACCGTCAGCACGATCAGTTGTATACGTATGTACAATCTGTAATTAAGCACGAACACTTCTAACAAATACAAGCATTATCACCGGTTATGTGCGCGCTCAGATATCACCACACAATGGGCACAAACAACCACTGACACCGCCACGTACTTTGTAATTATGAACACAAACACGATCACACATATGAACATGACATTTAGGCACAAGCACTGTTATCGGGTTCACATTTTAAATTCTCACCGCGCCACAAACACTGTAGTGCTTTAACTTAGGAAATGGCGATTACTGGCACATTCGTTAACATAGGTTTAAAGTGTATGCACAAACTCGTATTTCGGTACACATAGCAAGTCATTAAGCATTAAAAAGAAAAAAAAACTTTATCAAATGTAAAACACTTAAAACACGGAAAATAAAACACTTATATTGCTAGAAAAAATAAATTTAGTACTTAAAAGTAAAAGCACTAAATTCACTGCACAATACAAAAAATCAAAAGCATTTATATATCAAGCAGGAAGAATACGAACATCAAGATAAAAGAAAAAAAACATCATTAATTGAGCAAAACCTTAGTAAAAAGAGTAGTAAACCCTTAGTCTCTATTTAAGTTCATAGTATTGCTAACTGCATGCAATTGCAGATCCCAACCGCGTCTGCCACCATTTTACGTTGTAGTGTACCTCAACGCCGGTCTTGTAAAATATGACCGAACAGGATGACCATTTACTTCTTTAAAATAAATTGAAAAGAAATAAAAATAAGAAGCAAAAGAACGAACTTAAGAATAAAACGGAAACAAAACATTCAAAGGAAAACCTGAGATCCCTCAGTCTGTATATTCTTAAAAGTTGCAATCATTTATCACATCCTAACTGGGCTCTAGCAAACAATGAAAATATACTTATCTTTAAAAAATAGAGGAGGATGTCCAGTGATGCCAAGGCGTTTCGTGAACCACACTGATCAGACGAGCAAACAACCTAAGAGAGTATGGCGGCAAGACTATGGTTTGTATTTCTTCGTGTGTCTTGTAAAAATGTTTTGAAATAAAATTGATTAAAATGAAAGTGAATCTTAATCAAAGTATTAAAAACTATTGATAGTAAAATCGAGGCCATTAAATGAAGCTTAAAAAGTAAAAGATAAAAGAATACTAAAATTCCTCCAGGGAGGAGATGGCTGCTAAATACGCACATATCGTATTAAGTCAGTGCTGCTGCTATCAAGGGATGTGTCCTAGCCTGAGCTTCCGTGACTAGTGGGTTATATCCCATCCACTACGGATCAGATGCATCCGGCAACGACCTCGAAAGTCTTTTGCAGTAGATTCCTCTTTCTTCTTTTCCGGAGAAAACGCACATATTAATTAACACAAGTGGCGCTCATGGCAGGACTTTCCACCTATGATCACCAGTCTTCACCGCTTTGTCCCTTGGTCCACGTCCTGCAGGATAGTAGTTAATCCTTCCAAAGTGACGGATCATTTATACACGTGCGTATAAATAAATAAATCTATCTATATATTTATATATATAAATACACACATACATACATATACATACACATACATATCTATGCATATACATATACATGCATATACGCACACACACACACATACATCTATCTATCTATCTATCTATCTATATATATATATATCACATACATATATATTTATATATATGGATATATAAATATATATAAGCATATATATACACATATAGAAACTAATAAACACACACACACACACACACACACACACACACACACACACATATATATATATATATATATATATATATATATATATATATATATATATATATATGTATATATATATGTGTGTGTGTGTGTTTATATATATATATGTATGAATATATATATGCTTATATATATGTATATATGTATATGTATATATGTATATGTATATGTATATATATATATATATATATATATATATATATATATATATATATATATATATATATATGTATATATATATACATATATATATATATATATATATATATATATATATATATATATATATATATATATATATATGTATATATATACATACATATATATATATATATATATATATATATATATATATATATATATATATATATATATATATATATATATATACATACATATACATATATACACATATATTTACATTATATATATATATATATATATATATATATATATATATATATATATATATGTATATATACATAATATATCTTCTACGACGTTTCCCTTATTTAGGGGTTGTCACTTTCCACATACTGCTTTTTTCCACTTTTTTCGGTCTTGTGCCCACTACTCTTCGATGTTCCTTTTCTTTATGTCGGCCATCACACAATCCAGCCACCTCTTTCTTTGTCTTCCTGTGGCGTTCTGACCATTGTGGTTACACTTTCGTAGGTATCCTTCACGATGTTAATGAGGTACTCTGGAACTCCTTTCTTCCGTAGACACCAGTAGACCAGCTCTCTGGGCACCCTATCATATGTCGTTTCCAAGTCAACAAAGGCATGGTATAGGTTCTTGTCGCCTTCTAGATATTTCTCTTGGAGCTGCCTGATTATAAATACAGCATCAGCCGTGCCTCTCCCCGGTCTAAAGCCAAACTGCATGTTTCCTATATTCACCACTACTCGGATCTTCTCGTCCAGGATCTTTTCCTCAACTTTCAAGAGGTGTTCCAAGAGCTTGATACCACGGTGGTTCCCACATTCTAATACATCGCTTTTCTGTTTATACACTGGCACTAGTATACTTGTCCTCCAATCTTCTGGGATGTTCTCTCCAGATCTCGTGGGTCCACATCGCACCTTCACTCCCCAAGGCATCCAACATCTATACCACCACCTCCGATGTGCCTGGTGACTTGTTCTTCATCTTGAGGACGGCTGATACCTCCTGCAGGCGTACTTGCTGTATCGGACCTTCTACTGCTGGTAATTCTGTTAGCTCTTCCCCTTCGTTCTCTACATTCAACAATATTCAAAATATTCTCTTCATCTCCTTAGCACTTCTTCCTTCTCTGTCAGAATCCGTCCGTCCTCACTCTTCACCATAGTCACTTTTGGGATGTCTCTCTTTGCTTTTGCATGCTGCTAGGCCACTTTATAAATTCTCTTTTCTCTGTCTGGTGTTTCCATTTCTGCGTACCAGTCTCGAACTGCTTCCTCTTTGGCCACAACCACAGCCCTTTTTGTCTCTCTCTTCGTCCCTTTGTACCGGTTCCTTTTCTCCAGGCTCTCCTGGTCATCCTGCCACTCCTTGAAAGTTTTCTTTTCCTTGATTTTCTCCCGCACCTCTTCCGTCCACCACCATGTTTCTCGTTCTCCTGCTCCTCTTCCACTTGTTTTTCCACACAGCTTTTCTGCCACTTCCACCGTTGCTTCCTTTAAGGTCTTCCACATTTCGGTTGCTGTCTCTCTCTTCACTCTCTTCAGTCTCTCTCCCACGTGCCTTCTGTATCCTCCTGCACATTCCCGTAGTTTCCACACCTTGATCTTCTGCAGCTTCTTTCCTGTTGTTTCTCCTTTCCTTTTCTTAGCAAACGTCCCGTCCATGACCAGCAGTCTGTGCTGGTGAGCAACTGCCTCACCGGGAATCACTTTTGCATCTCTCACGTTTTTACGGGTTCTCTTCCTCACCATTAGGAAGTCGATCTGGGAACTGTTATCTCCACTTCGGTATGTTGTTAGATGTTCATCTCTCTTCTTGAATCCAGTATTTACCAAGACCAGTTCCAAGCTCTCCAATGTCTCTAGCATTTTCTCTCCTTCCTCGTTTCTCAGGTTGTATCCAAAACCGCCATGACATGCTTCATAACCTCCTGCTGTTTCTCCTACATAACAGTTAAGATCAGCTCCTAGGATGATTTCTTCTTCGTCAGGGATCTTTCTAACACTTTGATCTTCACAGCCAATCTGTAGAGCGTAACCACTCACGGCGTTGATCAGACTCTTAGCACCTTAATTGTCATCAACCTGTCTGAGGGCCTTTGGACTTCCACCACCCTTTGTTTGAGCACTTCATCGAGGATGATA